CCCTCTAGCAACCTATCTGGTCTTTACCTCCCCTCGTTCTCGACAAACTTGGTGAGTGGTGCTGACCTACAGGATGGGGGAGTGCACCAGTTCACTCCTGCGAGCCAGCGGGTGACTCACTGCGCTGAGGCTCGTACGGGCCGACATTTGGCCATGTTTACACGTCAGCCGGGGTCGAGCTTGTACACACTGACCACTGCGTCTCCTCCTGTCACTGCGTCTGGTTGGGTAGCTGCGTCGGACCAGGTGTTTGCTGCAGCGTCCAGGTCTGGTCTTAAGTCTCCCCCCTGTTCGTGTCGTCTCCTGTCTCACGAGACTCCTGTGGCACCACCGCCTTGGTCACCCCTCCCTGCCTCGTCTCCGAGGCATGGCGGCCCGTCTCCTTGTCTCTGGTCTTCCCCGGTCCCTCCCTCCCCTTCCCCAGGGGCCTGCCCCTGCCTGCGTCCCCTGCGTTGAGGGGCGCCAGCATGCTGCCCCTCACTCCTCCCAGTTTCCTCCGACAGAGGCCCCACTGCACACGCTTCACATGGACGTGTAAGGCCCAGCCCGCGTCCGTGGACAGGGTCACGAGCGCTACTTCCTGCTGGTGGTTGACGACTACTCGCGTTACACCACAGTCTTCCCCTTGCGCAGCAAGGGTGATGTCACTGAGGTGCTGATCGACTGGATCCACGCAGCTCGTCTCCAGCTAAGGCAGAGCTTCAGCTCGGACTTTCCTGTTCTGCGTCTGCACTCTTACAGAGGCGAAGAGTTCTCCTCTGGCCTTCTGCGAGCCTACTGTCGTGCACGAGGCATCCGCGAGACCTTCACGCTTCCGAACTCTCCACAGCAAAATGGGATTGCTGAGCGCAAGGTTGCTGGTGACTCTGGTGCTGCTGAGGGTGCTGAGCCTGAGGGTACAGCTAATGGGGGTGTTGAGCCTAGGGGTGCTGAGCCTGAGGGTGCTGCGACTAGGGGTGCTGAGCCTGGGGTTGCTACGCCTGGGGGTGCTGAGCCTGGGGGTGCTGAGCCTGGGGATGCTGCTACTGGGGGTGCGGAGCCTGGGGGTGCTGAGCCTGGGGGTGCTGCTACTGCGGGTACGGAGCCTGCGGGAGCTGGGCCTGCTCGTGTCGCCTCTGGCGGTGCTCCGCCTGGAGGTTCTCCGGGTGCTTCGTCTCAGCGGGAGCCACTCTCTCCACAGGAGCTGCGCGAGTGGTTTGCCCGACGCTGGAGGCGTACTGGTGGAGCTGGAGGTTCTTCGGCTGCTGAGGGTGCTGGTGTCGCGGGTCCCGGAGGTGCTCGTACTGGGAGTACTGGAGCTGCTGGGCCTGCGAGTACGACTCGAGCTGGAGCTACTGAGGGTGTTGGCACCGAGGCTACTGCTGGCGGTTCTGCTGGGGGTGCTGCTGGAGGTCGTGGAGCTACTGGAGCTGCTGCGGGTACTGGAGCTGGAGGTGCTGCTAGAGCTGGAGCTCCTGCTGGGGGTACTCGTGCTGTCCTTGCCGTGTTTGGAGTCGCCGCGCAGCCTCGGCCGTACTTCGTTCCGCTCCTTCAGCAGGTTCTTGGTCTTCCGCCTTCTACTGGTCCTTCTCCTCCCTTAGAATGTCCACAGCCTGTCCCGTCGCAGTCATAGTTACAGCCGGCCTCCCCTTTGCCTGCCCCTTCTCCCTACACTGGTCCTACTGGAGGTCTTGCTGAGCGTCGTGAGCCTGCGTCTCGCCCTGCGTCGCTTGTCTGTGCTGCTCGCACTAGTGGTCGTGGTTCACGTCAGCGTCCTCCTCCTGTCCCTGGCACGCACCGGATGTCTCTGCGTCCGTCCACTGCTCCTCTGCGTGCCCCTTTGCCTTCTCCTCCTGAGTCCTCTCTTCCTGCTCTTGCCGACCCGGAGTCGGACTCTCTTCGTGCTGCCAGTCCTTCTGTCACGCGTCTCCTTGCTACTGCCGTCACTGACCCTTCCTTTGAGTCCACTACTGCGTCTGCCCTCGTTGCTGAGCTCGTCGACTTTGCTGCTCGTTGTCGCCTAGACTACGCTGCTAGTCTCGTCGCTAAGTCTGAGTCTGTCTGTCCTCCGTCCGTCAGGGGTGAGTGTGCCCTTGGCACGGACAACCTTAAGGACAGGCAGGAGGAGTTCCAGTGTCTGGTTGCTGCTTCACCTCATCTCGTGTCTGTACTGCTTACCCCTGAGGGAGACCCGGATGCACTTGACATCCCGACTCCGCGCTCTTACACAGAGGCGATAGAGGATCCCTACTCCTCTCAGTGGATGGCAGCTATGGACACAGAGATGGCTTCCTGGAAGTCCACAGGCACCTATGTTGATGAGGTTCCCCCGCCTGGGGCGAACATTGTCAGAGGCATTTGGATTTTCAGGGTGAAGCGACCGCCAGGTTCTCCGCCTGTCTTCAAGGCACGTTACGTGGCTCGTGGCTTCAGTCAGCGGCAGGGAGTTGACTACTTTCAGACCTTCTCTCCCACCCCGAAGATGGCCACTCTTTGGGTACTGCTGCACGTTGCTGCTCACCGTGACTACGAGCTGCACTCTCTTGACTTCAGCACAGCTTTCTTGCAGGGCAGCCTGCACGAGGAGATCTGGCTACGTCGCCCACCTGGCTTCACTGGGTCGTTCCCTCCTGGTACCTAGTGGAGCCTCCGGCGGCTAGTCTACGATCTCCGCCAGGCACCGCGTGAGTGGCACTACACACTGAGGACTACGCTTGCGGCTCTTGGGTTTGCTCCCTCTACTGCTGACCTGCGCACCGACACTTCTTTGCCGCCGTTCTACGTCCTCGTGTAAGTCGACGACTTGGTATTTGCCACAGCTGACACTGCTGGACTCGCCCACGTGAAGTCCGAGCTGCAGAAGAGACACACGTGCACAGACCTGGGTGAACTGCGCAGCTATCTTGGCTTGCACCCAGTTCAGAGCACGCCGCACCATTACCATGACTCAGTCACACATGGTGCAGCAGGTCCTTCAGCGTTTCGGCTTCACGTACTCCTCGCCTCAGGCCACTCCTCTGCCTACTCGCCACTCGCTCTCAGCTCTGCCTTCGGATGAGTCCGTAGAGCCGAGTGGCCTGTACCCAGAGCTTGTTGGCTGCCTCATGTACCTGATGACCTGCACACGACCTGACCTTGCATACCCTCTTAGCATTCTCGCACGCTATGTCGCTCCTGGGAGACACAGACCGGAGCACATGGCTGCAGCGAAGAGGGTGTTGCGCTACTTGTGCAGTACGTCGGGCATGGGGCTAGTGCTTGGAGGGCGGAGTCTAGTGGTCCTCACTGGGCACGCAGACGCTTCTTGGGCTGACGACCAGGCTACGCAGTGGTCGTCACAGGGTTACACCTTCAGCCTTGGTTCCGGCTCTGTTTCGTGGCGGGCTACTCGCTCGTCTTCTGTTCTCGGCTCCAGTTGTGAGCTCAGATCTACGCAGGGGCCATGGCTGCACAGGAGCTTTGCTGGCTCACTTACCTGCTGACTGACCTCGGAGAGCCGCCTCGTTCTCCTCCAGTTCTGTACGTAGACAACAAGGCCATGTTGGCCTTGTGTCGAGAGCAGAGACTGGAGCACAGAACAAAGCACATTGCTCTCCGCTACTTCCTTGCTCGTGAGCTACAGCAGCGTGGTCCGTTGCGGCTTGCGTACGTGGCCTCTGAGGCCAACACTGCTGATGTCTTCACAAAGGCACTTGCGCCTTGTGATCATCAGCGCTTCTGTACTCAGTTGGGTCTTGTCCCTGTCTTGCCTCACTTGCTCACCTCTTGACCTTGCTTGAACTGTTACATATAAATATACCTCCTCTTACTTGTCTAGCCTTATATATATATGTACTCCTGCATGTGAACTGGCCTTGTGGCCTTGAACTTGTGCTTGAAATGTGTGGTGACTTTGTGATCCACCCTGAGCTTGCTTTGCTTTGCTTTGCTTGACTAGTCTTGTGACCCCTTGTTCTCCCCCATTTTTCCTGTAGGGGTGTGTCAGGACATAATAGCTTATACATTTTTGTAGGCTGTAGTGGGGTAGCCCATAAGAGGTACAACCCAATTAGGGTTAGTACTTGTACCCAACTCTTTCATAGTTCATTCATTCTCGTTCTAAGTTTCACAGTATGAAGCTGAGGTAGGCAGCGGGAGGAGAGTAGAGGGGCGACGGCATACCATGGCATGCGCTGACTGAGTGAGACTGGCGCGGGGGAACGGACAGGGACAGGGGCGCCATCAGCGAATCCACGCGACTGTCAGGGCAGCCGCGACTGACGACTACTCCTGTCAGCGACAGCGTGCACCCTGTCGACTGCCCAGCGCTGTCGGCGCCAATGTCGACAGGGTGCACGCTGTCGACAGTCGCGGTTGTCGCTGCCCTGTGAGCGAAGGTGGATTCGCGGCTGACTGAGTGACTGCATTGGCCCCGACAGCGTGCTCCCTGTCGACTGCCTAGCGCTGCCTGCCTGCCTCACTACTGCCTTCGCTACCCTGCTCCTCCCCCACCCACCCCCCTGTCCCCCCCCCGATCCCCCCCAAATACATTCCGCGCCCTCCTCTCCTCTCCGGCCCTGCCTTGTTCCGCCAGCGTCACCGCCGTCACCCCTCATCACCGCACCCCGCTCCTTTTGCGCCCTTCGCACCTGCTCCGCCGCGAAAGCAATCTCCCTTGCTGACCCCGCGCAGCTTCCGCCTGCTTCCCTGCGCCTGCCCCTGGCTTTGCCGCATCATCTGCATCATTTGCCGTACCCCTGCGAGCGCTGAGAACTGGTAGCGAAGGGGAGCGATGACAGAAGCTGCATGTCTGCCCCTCTCGCGGCCTGTGCATGACAGGTGCTGCCAGGGAAAACACAAGCGTCGTAGGGGTTGAAAATCGGTAACGATGAGAAGGGCTAATGGGAATACTGGGAGGTGATGAGAGGGACCGCCCCTATCGCCACCTCTGTATGGTCTGACTGAAACCGTCGCCAGGTGCTGCCAGAAACGCACATGAGGGGAGAGGCGAAGAGGTGGAAAGGGGCAGACGAGTGCGGTAGTTATGGAAGGGGGAGATTGCATGGGCTAGCAGGTGCTGCCGCATTAAGAGAAATGGGGGCAACAGTGTGGGAGCGATGGGGGGGCCATGGGGGAGCAATGGGGGAGTGTTGGGGGAGTGATGGGGGAGTGATGGGGGAGTGATGGGGGACCGACTCGGAGAATGGATGGGGGGAACGGGATGGGGGGAACGGGATGGGAGCAATCGGATGTGTGGCATGGGATGGGATGGTAAGCCCGACAGCACGCACCTCCCTTATGCGGTGTGCAGCAGCAGAGCCACGAGCCCCGTACGACCTCGCTTGCGCCCTGTACCAGCCGCTTGAAACGGCGTCCCCGCCTCCACGGAGCAGCGAGCCATCAGTGCTTGCAGCAGTATCTTGTTCACCTTCTGATCAATGCTCGCCTCCCCACCACCGCCCTCTCCGCCTCACTCTACGCTGATTTCAATACCTCTTCGCGCCTCTTCGTCCTCAATTCTAGCCTTCCTTTGCTGTCGCCCTCTCTCTCGCATTCGCCTCTTCCTCTCCCACTCTCCTCCACCCTTATTCTCTCATTCTGTTCCTCTCTTCCTTCCTCACCCTCTTCCTCTCTTCCTCTCTCATCCTGATTCGTACTACCTGTCTCCTCCTCTCGTAATCTCTCACTCTCTTCCTCTCATCCTCCCTCAGCCTCTCACACTCTTCCTCTCTCTTCCTATCGTCTCTCACCCTCCTCACTTCTTCTCTCACTTTCCCCCTTTCTTCATACCTCACCCTCCTCTCTTCCTCTCTCACTCTCTCCCTCTCTTCTTCTCTCTTTCTCTTCTCCACCTGCCCAAGCCTCTCCGCCAGTCTCGTCGTCAAGCCAACCTCCACGGCGAGCAGCACGCACCATCGGCTCACACCCATCATCTGCTCCAATGACAGCTCCTCCGCGCTCCCCGCTCCGCCGCCCATCATGCCGTTCACGCGCATGGCCACGTCGACCTGCCGCCTCCGCGCATGCATTCCGCCTCCGCCGTACTCCCTCGTTTTCCCACCCCCCACCTCTGCGCTTTCCCAGTTCTCCGCAGTCGCACCCTTCTCAGCACAGCATCTGCGCTTTCCACGCTGCGCCTCACCGCGCAAATCGCCGCAAAGATTCCAGCCGTTCATCCTCTCTCATATGTTCTTTGCTGATGCCCTGGGGCAAAAGGAAATGTAATTTCTGCTTTACGTCCCCCGAATGCGCTGCTTCTATTCCACCTTGTTCCCACCAGAGCCGTGCCAGGGCCAGAAAGGTGCGACCCTGAAATGTGGCTCTGAGATTCGATCTTAATGCGACAGGTGTGCCGCAGCGGCGAAGAATGAAGTAGGATTGAAGATCTGAGGCGCGCCAAACGAAACAACAAAATACTTGCTGATCGAAAGAAACGGGTTGCATAAGAGAAAGGGAAGCCAGGGCGGGAAGTGATAGGGCTGAGTGGTGTAGGGCGTAATGTTGAACAAGAATGGATGAACTAACAGTGAAATGAGTACAAGTAGGAAACCCTAGAATTGTGTACCCCCTATAGGCTAACCCACCGTAGCCTAAACAACTACAACATATATATAATGTTTGACACACCCCCATAGGCGAAGTGGGGGAGAACTAGGGGTCACAAGACCAGTCAAGTAAAGCAAAGCAAAGCAAGCTCAGGGTGGATCACAAAGTCACCACACATTCCGAGCACAAGTTCAAGGCCACAAGGCCAGTCCACATGCAGGAGTACATAAATATATAAGGCTAGACAAGCAAGAGCAGCAATATATATATGTAACAGTACAAAGAGGGTCAAGAGGAGAGCAAGTGAGGCAAGACAGGCACAAGACCCAGCTGTGTACACAAGCGCTGATGATCACAAGGCGGAAGTGCCTTGGTGAATGTCAATGGGAGTTGGGTATTGGCCCCATCCTCGCTTGGGCGGAGCAGACTTCGTGGTCGGGTGTGAGGGGAGCAGCCGACCTGCAGCAGTGGGTGAGCTGGTCGACGAGGAGGCCGACCTGCACGGGCGCCGACCTCAGGGTGGCGCCGACTTCAGGGAGGTCGACTTGGGAGTCGACCTGCGGAGGACGTCAACTTGGTGAAGCGGACTTCGGCGGTCGGCTAACGGACTGCTGGTCGACCTGTTAGTGGTCGACTGGACCTGGTGGTCGACGAAGGAGGGGCCGACGTCGACCTTGACGCAGGACGCCGAGCAATTGGGCGTCGAGTAGCGGGGCGTCAACTTCGTGACGCTAGCTTTGGGTGGCCGACGTGGGTGGTCGGCCGACGACTGTGCTGGTCCACTAGGAGCAGGACGACCAGGAGTACTGGTCGACGTGGAGCTGGTCGACCAGAGGGGACGTCGACCTGGAGGAGGTCGACCGATGGTCTTGTCGACCTGGTGATGTCGACGTGGAGGTGGTCGTCGACTTGGGAGGTCGACGGGCACGACCGGGAGCTGCTGGTCGACGTGGTTGCCTGGTCGACTAGGTTACCTGGGTGACGAAGTGCTGCGGAGGAGTGCGACGGTCGCCCAGGCGAAGTTGGCGAGCCCGACCTCGGTGGTGGTATCCCGAGGTCGTCGTGGTGGATCAGAGGCAGTCGTCAGCTCGAGGTTGACGTGGTGTGTGCGCTGTGCAGGTGACGAGACTCTGCACGCCAATCATCTGCGCACAACTGCGAAGCAGGGTGCACTGCTGTCCTGCGTGAGCAACGCTGTCACGCCGTCAACCTGCGATGTTGGCACGCCGTCGACCTTGCCTTGCTGGAGCGCGGTCGACCAAGTCGTGCTGGAACGCGGTCGACCAAGCTGCGCTGGCAGTTGGCCGACCTGAATGCTTGCTCTGATGTAGTCTTGCTATGCCAACTTCCTTGTATCATTGTTGTCATGTTTTCCTAGTAAAACTCTTGCAAATTCTCCCCGTGAACTAGCAAGGAGTGTGAACACAAGGAAACGACTAAGTGAACGAACGCGGAGATCACACGAGCACACGTGCCTAGCCCGTAGCCTAGCTCCCGATGCTGCAGTTATCTCCGCAGTGAAGACATCAGCAGTGTTGGCCTCAGAGGCCACGTACGCAAGTCGAAACTGACAACACTGCTGTAGCTCACGAGCAAGGAAGTAGCGGAGAGCAATGTGCTTTGTTCTATACTCCAGTCTTTGCTCTCGACACAAGGCCAGCATGGCCTTGTTGTCTACGTACAGGACTGGAGGAGAACGAGGCGGCTCTCCAAGGCCGGTCAGCAGGTAGGTGAGCCAGCGAAGCTCCTGAGCAGCCATGGCCCCTGCGTAGATCTCAGCCTCACAACTGGAGCCGAGAACAGAAGACGAGCGAGTAGCCCGCCACGAAACAGAGCCGGAACCAAGGCTGAAGGTGTAACCCTATGACGACCGCTGCGTAGCCTGGTCGTCAGCCCAAGAAGCGTCTGCGTGCCCAGTGAGGACCCAGCGAGTGGCGAGTAGACAGAGGAGTGGCCTGAGGCGAGGAGTACGTGAAGCCGAAGCGCTGAAGGACCTGCTGCACCATGTGTGACCGAGTCAGGGTAATGGTGCGGCGTGCTCTGTCCCGGGTGATCTGCAAGCCAAGGTAGGTATGCAGTTCACCCAGGTCTGTGCACGTGTGTCTCTTCTGCAGTTTGGACTTCACGTGGGCGAGTCCAGCAGTGTTAGCTGTGGCAAAGACCAAGTCGTTGACGTACACGAGGATGTAGAACGGCGGCAGAGAGGTGTCGGTGCGTAGAAACAGCGACGGGTCAGTAGTGGAGGGAGCAAACCCAAGAGCCGCAAGTGTAGTCCTCAGTGTGTCGTGCCACTCACGCGGTGCCTGGCGGAGACCATAGACCGGCCGCCGAAGGCTCCACTGGGTGCCAGGAGGAAAAGTCCCAGTGAAGCCAAGAGGGCGGCGCAGCCAGATCTCCTCGTGCAGGCTGCCTTGCAGGAAAGCAGTGCTGAAGTCAAGAGAGTGTAGCTCGTAGTCACGGTGAGCAGCGACGTGCAGCAGTACCCGAAGAGTGGTCATCTTCAAGGTGGGAGAGAAGGTCTGAAAGTAGTCAACTCCTTGCCGCTCACTGAAGCCACGAGCCACATAACGCGCCTTGAAGACAGGCGGAGAACCCGGCGGCCGCTTCACCCTGAAAATCCACATGCCACTGACGATGTTCGCCCCAGGAGGGGGGACAGCGTCAACGTAGGTGCCTATGGACTTCCAGGAAGCCATCTCTGCATCCATAGCCTCTGCCACTGAGAAGAGTAGGGACCCTCTATCGCCTCCGCGTAAGAGCGCGGAGTTGGGATGTCAAGTGCATCCGGGTCTCCCTCAGGGGTAAGCAGCACAGACACGAGATGAGGTGAAGCAGCGGCCAAGCACTGGAACTCCTCCTGCCTGTCCTCAAGGACGTCCGTGCCAAGGGCACACTCACCCCCGACAGACGGAGGACAGACAGACTCAGACTCTGCGACAAGACTAGCAGCGTAGTCTAGGCGACAGCGAGCAGCAAAGTCGACGAGCTCAGCAACTAGGGCAGACGCAGCAGTGGACCCAAAGGAAGGGTCAGGTCAGTGACGACAGTAGCAAGGAGACGCGTGACAGTAGGACTGGCAGCACGAAGGGAGTAAGACCCCGAGTCCGGAATAGCAGGAAGAGAGGACGCATGAGGAGACGGCAGAGGGACACGCTGCGGAGCAGTGGAAGGACGAAGCGCCATCCGGTGAGTGCCCGGGACAGCAGGGGGACGCTGACTATGGACACGACCACCAGTGAGAGCAGCACGGACAGGCGACGCACGGCGAGACTCAGGCGACGCAAGACGAGACTCAGGCTCACGACGCTCAGTAAGACATCCAGTCGGACCAGTGTAAGGAGCAGGACCAGGGAGAGAGGAGGCAGACGTAGGACACCCTAAGGAGGGAGGAGGACAAGAAGGAGGAAGCTGACGAAGAACCTGCTGAAGGAGCGGATTAAAGTACGGTCGCTGCCGCGCAGCGACTCCAGAACCAGCAGAGACACCAACGCCAGGGTCCGCAGTACCAGCAGCAGCTCCAGCACCAGGGTCCACAGCACCAGCCGCAGCTCCAACTCCCGGGTCCGCAGCACCAGTAGCAGCTCCAACACCAGGGTCCACAGCACCAGCCGCAGCTCCAACGCCCGGGTCCTCTGCACCACCAGCAGCTCCAACGCCTGGGTCCGCAGCACCAGCAGCAGCACCAACTCCCGGGTCCGCAGCACCAGTAGTAGCACCAACGCCCGGGTCCGCAGCACCAGCAGCAGCTCCAACGCCCGGGTCCGCAGCACCAGCAGCAGCGGGGTCCGTGAGACGAGGCGCGCCACTCCGAAGTGTGCACCGCCGCTCGTACCACTCACGGATCCGCTCACGGGAGGGGAGCTCCCGACTAGGAGGAGAAGTACCAGCACCAGTCCCTGTAGTGCGTCTGGCTCCAGAGGTACCTCTCCGAAGGCTGCAGTACTATAAGTACCACTCACGCAGCTGCTCCGAGGAGAGGCCTCGTCCAGGTGTAGGACCCTCAGGCCCAGCACCTCCAGAGTCAGAACCCCCAGGCCCCGCACCCCCAGGCTCAGCACCCCCAGTCCCCGCGCCCGCAGGCTCAGCACCCCCAGGCTCAGCACCCCCAGGCTCAGCACCACCAGTCTCCGCACCCCCAGGCTCAGCACCCCCAGGTCTCCGCACCCCCAGGCTCAGCACCCCCAGGTCTCCGCACCCCGAGCCTCAGCACCCCCAATATCCGCACCCCCAGGTTCAGCACCCCCAGTAGGACGAGAGTCGATAGCAACCTCAACAGGCTCAACCGGGTCTACCTGAGACACACCTGAGGGAGCAGCACCCTGAGGGGGGAGGGGGTCTACGACAGCAGCACCGGGCGCGAGGAAGAGAGGCGGGGGGGGGGGAGCGGGGCAATGTGGTAGGGCAAGAGGCGGTAGTAGGGGACAGACTCGTCAAAAGTGACGTGGTAAAACTGCCAACCAGGCGCGTCCGGGACAAAGCCGAGGAAGACGCAGGGAACAGCACGAGAGGAGAGCTTGTCCGCAGACGTATCGCGGACAAAAGCTCGAGATCCCCAGACCCGGAAACGCGACGCATCGCCAACCTCCCCCGTCCACAACAGTGTGGGCGAGGTCTCCGGCAAGGAGACACG